TAATGGCTCTTGCTTTTGCTACTACTAAAAGAGAGTATGTAAAAAGTAAGAGCGTGAGCCCTTATGGAGCAGAGGCTGTCCAAGTACTAGATTGTACAGGTGACAGAGGAGCAGCTTGGCACTCTCCCAGTGAGACCTGCCTGGTCTCATTTCTATTCCTGTAATCGTTTATTGCTCTGGCTTCTATTCACTGAGCTTTGAATGGTGTATTCATTCATGTTTTCTGAAAATAGCAACCACAGGTTAAAAAGGGGTCCCCAGCCAGAGGCTGAAATGGAGCAGCTGGGATGACTCTGGCCATCACAGTTTTTTATAAGAACAAAATTTCTAGTCCCTATGGAAACAGATCCTCAGTCTCATGCTCCCCTCTCCGCTGGGCTGATGTCAGTGCTGCGGGGTCAGGCTTGCCCAATTCTCTGCACCTGGCACCCTGGGCATAAGCACAACCTGGCCACAGGTCTGTGTTTCCTGTTGGTGTCACAGGCAAGAGGAGCTGTGGCTACTTTTCATAGAATCAGTCATAGAATGGCTTGGGTTGGAAGGGGTTTTAAAGATCACCTAGTTCTAGCTAGAATGGCCATGGTGTTGCGGGCCAGGTGTGGGACCAAGCCATGGTGCGCTGCTGTGGGAGGCTCTGTGTCTCTATGCACTGCTTTAGGTCTTTCAGAAAACCTCTGGTGCCTTGGCTAATCCATGGTGGCTGTGTGGGGCCGGCAGAGCCTCCAGCTGGGCTACAGCTGGGCTATCAGCCCTCCCTGATCTCCTGATCAGGGGGCCGAGGCTTCTGCCATGGCTTACTCTGTCTGGGGAATTCCTTCTCTGTTTAGCCACATCTTTGCACCATCTTTCTAGCTTTCTGCTCACTTCAGGAGTGAGTTTTGTATTTAAAGGACATAATTCTATGTCTGTATTATATATAAAAGTCTAATTCCTTCCTGGGATCACCAGGCAGAAGATCATTGCTCTTCAGGCACAAAGGCTGGTGTGTGTCCTTGGTGCATCCCAGTCCCCACTGCTCCCTGGCTAAGAGCTCACCAGAGGAGGGGATCCAGGCTCACACGTGGCTCAGCGGTGCTGCTTTTTCCTTGTTGTGGGCTGCGCCCAGTGCATTATGTGTCCGTGAAAAAACAGAGAATTCGGTGTTGTCTGGGTAAATGATATTTTGATCTTTGCATGCTTCCTTGCCGCATAGGAAAACAAACCCATGTAGAAGCCCGTGATGAGAGGCACAATCTGAGTGCAACAGTACGGCGTGGTCCTCAGCCCCTTGCTGCTGGTTAGGGCTTTGTACCATATGTCAGTAGTCACCACTGATATGGGAACATGATGCTGCTTCCAGGAACAGGGGAGTGTAAGAAGGCGTATCTACCCCAGGCTGCTCTTGGAGCACCTTCACTGACCTGACTTACATGAATATTGCTCATAACAGACTTCACCAGGCAGCTGCGTGACAAAGCAGTTGCCATCCCACCGCTGCCTCTCTATGCACTCGTTTCCTGTGGCTTATCCTCTCTTGGACAATCTGTGTGTTGTAAATGAGAATATGAATCTCATAGAAAGATCCAGTAACTCAAATGAATTAATGTTGCGAATTAATGTTGCAAATTAATGTTGTAGGAAGATGCAGGCAGGCAGGCATGCAGCCCAGCAAGCCATCCAGCCCTCCCATGGCTAAGGCTTCCCAATGACTGGTGATGCTTTGCGGCATGTAGCTTTGATTCAGTTTGCTTACAGTGATCATCTGCTGGATTAACTGGCAGCCAGCAGGTTGCTAAGAAGGGGTTTTTTTTTTTTAGCCCAGAACGTGTCAGCTTGAAAAGAGACACAAAAAGCTGCACTGGTGAGGAGAGGAGGAGATGGGCAGTGATCAGAGTGGGTGCAGCAGTACCACGCTGCCAGGTTGTGGTGAGGCAGATGGATGCAGCTCACAGGGCTCACCCCAGTGGTTTCAACCTTGCCATAGCTCTGTTTTGCTCTTGGGTGCGTCACCGAGATTTGGCTCCAGGGAAACACCTCCATGCTTCCTATCAGCATGGCAAAACTGACATGGAAACCATCTCATTCTCCTCCCAACAGCTCTCAGCAAAGCCAGCATGGAGACAGAGGGACTGTCACTCCCTGCAGAGGCAAGAAATGCTAGAAAATAAGAACCACCCAAGCAATTTGCAATTAGGGGCACACCAGCTGCCCATGGTGCCACAGAGCTGTACCTCAGGTGCTCTTGGCTCTCTGATCCTCTGGGGGAGCTCCGGCTGGGCACAGACACACGAGTAAGTCTCTCAGCTGCTTGGCTCCTTTCTGGAGCCTCAGAGCAGTGTTGGGGTTTCTAGCCAGCATTTGAAGCTGCCCTTGAATGGGTCCTGAAGCAAGGGCAGGATGGAGAATGGCAGCCCAGGGACGAGGCTGTGTCCCTTCTCTGCAGACGATGTTCCTCTCAAGTGTCCAGCACCGAGTGAAACGCTCATCCCCAGGAGCCTGTCTGCCTCTGACAGCTGAGACTTCGGTTTTCCATGTTTAAAGATGTCTAGGAGAACTACAAAAGTCTTGGGGTGCAAGCCTTGGATTACTTTGACCCTGGAACAATCACAGTGTTAAGTAGTAAATTTTTATTCCATGTATGACTACATACATACTGTGTTATTAAAAGTCTACACAGGGCTCTGGATGGTGCGGAGAAGTGCCACCAGCCCACAATACCCAGCATCGAACACCACTGCTCAGCTTGAGGGACCCTGTGCCAAGACAACAAAGACCAGGCAGCACCCACCAGCTCTGGGGTATTTGCCTTAGGGGAGCAATGCCCTAAGCTTGAGATGTCAGGTGTAGGTGTTCCCAGGTTCATAGTATGTGCCTAAGTCAACCTGGATCAGTAATTTCTGTGAGAAGGAAGCTCTGCACAGGAATGTGCATTGAACCTCCTGCAACTGGAGTTACCTGGACACTGGCAAAGCTCCTGCGCTGCATCAGGAAACCTGCCCACAAACCCCTCGTTCAGCACGACATACGGCTGAAGAGAACCAGCCTGGAACAGCCCCTCCACTTCTGCTTTGTCCATGCCAGGGTCACCGTGTGAGGGCTGGGGCTCTCTCTGGCTGCCGGGGCAGTGTGTCTCTCAGACAGGAGCTGGTGGTGGTGGTCTCCAGGAGGCAGGGTGCTGCCTGCAGACACACAGCCCACCTCAGAATTTCCAGCAGCCTCGAGCACTTTTGTTTTTTCCATCCTATATTCTGCACAAGTCATAGCAGTATTGATGATATCTCTGTGAGGAGAAACATGACTGGGTGCTCCTGGCACTATGCAGATGACTGCACTGTGTTATCAGCTGAACTTCTCTGGGATTTTTTTGTTTAGTTGTTTGGTTTTTTTTTTTCTTCAGCCACCAAATACCAGAAGTCCTTTTCTAGCAAAAGTGCTGATTTCTCTGCAGCTAAAGTGCAACAAACCCATTCAAGGAAATGCTGGGAAGTGAAATGGATCAAAAGGCAGCTCTTCAAATGCTCCTGCTGGCCTGGTGAAATGCCACGGGGACAGTGGCTTTAAAAAGTCCCCCTTTACTCCAGAGTCAGTGTAGGAGAGGGGGACTCACCAGACAGGGCTAGTGTATCACAACCCTGGGTGCTATATAAAGCCATGGAGGCTTTGCTTTCCAGCACTAAGCAGCATTTCTACCCAGATCTACACTAATTTTGTAGATGGTAATGGTGCAACTGATGAGTCATAGCCGCAAATATTAATTCTCTATTAGCACACTTACACTGCTAAGCCTGTCTGGAGTAACACAACCATAGAGAAATTAGCAGAGGAAGTAGAAAAATGACTGAGAGAAACTTTGACTGAAAGATAGGAAAGTGAGCATGAAACCTAGCAAAACACAGCACAAAACATTAGAGATTTGATGATAGCCGGGTCTTTTACTGGTATACTCTACCATCAAAGCAGGATGGGGCATCAGCTTGGAAGCAGTGGCCTGCCTGGCAAGCTGGTGGGCTCCTCCCATCTGGGCTCACAGGAGTTATGGTGCCCATAGGGAGCTGCTAAGGATATGTGCAAGAGTGGACCTAAGTGTGGACAGACTTCCCATCACTCATGTCTTCAAATCAAGCCTGGAAAATGTCCCAGATTGATGAGAGTCTGTGGCATTAAGAGAAGAGAAAACCCCGCTTGCACCACGGCTGCCTCCTTGCTCGGTCACTGCCTGCCTTCGGTTGACCTACTTGAGTCATGGGGAGACAACAAGTGAGAAGACATCCTGCACTGTGGTTGGCACTGACACTGACTGGGGAGAAAAAGGTGCTTCTCCCAGGGGCTGCTCCCTGTCCCACATCGGTGGGGGGAGCAGGAGCACAAGGAGAGCACCCTGAGGCAGGGCCAGAGAAGAGACTGGTTCTTGCTTACATCCATGTGTCACACCAGCCTGGCCCTTGTCCCTACGCTGCAGTGCGAAGTAAAAAGCTGGTTTCTCTTCTTCTGGCCAGAGCAAGTGACATTACTGGTGCCTCTCTCCCAGCTGATGTGTGGGAGAGATGGTGCAAACTGAAGGAACAGGCTGGGTGGTGGGGAAAGGAGCTGGTCTCTGGGTAAACTCCTACAGAGACCAGGCTGGGTGCTAAACCAGACACATTAAGTATGTTCAGACATGTGTTTGCTGCTTGCCAGTGTTTGTCTTTCTTGGGTTTCAAAGGAAATACATCCACCTGTCGAGTCATTGCTTGGTGTGTCTTATCTGATCATTGCCCCTCCATGAGACACATCCCAGGCATCCCCGGGGAGGTCTGCAGGGGCAGGATGTGTGTCTGACCCTCCTCCCAAGGCTGCTGAACCTGGGGCAGTGGAAGGCAGGCAGTGCTGCTACTGACTGTGGCCCTCTCTGCATCCCCAGGCAGGCACGAGCACTAAAGGTTGCTCAGAGTTGGGACAGAAAGGAGAGGCAGGCTTTGCTTGTTGGTTTGGTTTGTACTGAAAAATCTTTTTCTTGGTTGTGCAAACTTGTTTTTTTGCAGGTAAGGGGATCAAAACCAAAAAAACTCCACACAGAGGAGAACTGGATTTGTGTTTGGTGTATCTTGGGCTGGGAAAGAGCATTAGGAGCTGGACCTGCAGAGAATAGCGGCAGAGACAGGCTGAGCTCCTTACACATCAGGGGAGCATCCCTGGGGCCAGCTAAGGCTGTCTCCAGTTATAAAGGTAGCAGGGCTGGAGCTGGGGTCTCTGTGACTGGGGTTTGCTCAGAGCAGAGGTGGGACAGAGGTTTTGCTTTACCTATTGAAGTGCTATGGATGGGATAGAGGGGAACCCCAGCAGCTGTGCCCCAACACTGATGTGGATTTGCATGTGAGCTGGTGGATTCAGCTGCTGCAGCTCCCTCCCTGCCCAGGGCAGATACCATGAAAGGAGAAGAAATGCTGCAAAAAACAAGGCAATTTGGACTCTTTTCCCCATCCCCAGCCTTGAAAGAAGCTGAGGAAAAGACTGGCTCTTGCTTACATCCAAGTCATGCCAGCCTGACCATTGTCCCCCTGCTGCAGTTAGGGGAAAATAGTAGTCTCAGTGGAATAAACTTTCTTCCTTGCTCAGGTCTGTTACGTGTTGTACATGTACCGCAGATGCATCTGAAGAGAAGTGTTTTAAGATTCTAAAAAACCTGTATACACCAAAAAAGTAAATGATCCCTAAAACACTGGATGAGAAAGAGATGGTTTAACAAGAAAATATGTCACCAAATTCCTGAACTATAACTTACTACTTTTGCAGTCTTGCTGTGAAAGTGTTTCAGTTGCTAATGTCAGTGTGGAGCCTGTCTGAAGAGTTGTACCCATCTATCTAAAAGGAAATGAAGTGCAAAAAATACTCCAAGTATTTGTTTAACATGTGAGTTCTGGTGGCATTGAAGGAGGGGGCAGGTGGTCATACACCCCCTGGTTACTGCACCTGACTTGGTAAGGAACTGGGAAACTCTTCTCAGCAAAGAAGGCAACTGCCCAAAGGCATATGGGATGCTAGGAAGAGACTTCTGAGACTGTACAGGGCTTACTGTGGGACGTCTAGGGGAAGGAGCAAATGGGAAACAGGGAAGAATCAAGATGGTTTGGGGAGGAACCAGTGTGGGGAAAAGGGGACAAAAGGGCCTGCTTAGATGCTTATATGTCCTGTGCCTGATCACTGTGGCGCAACCTGTGAGACTGGGGTACAGGTGAGTATGTTGGTGAGTACAACTGCTAGCAAATAACAAGCCAGGCCAGCTGAAAACTAGGATCACAGGTTCAGGAGAGATTATATGTCTAAGACCAGCAGCTGAAGGAATCTAGATTGTGTGAATGTATGTGTGTGTGTATGTGTGTATATATATATACACATATATATGTATATACACACAGCCTTCCAATACTCAAAGGGGGGCAAAAGAAAGGTGGAGAGGGACTATTTAATAAGGGCATGTAGTGATAAGACAAAGGGAATGGATTTAAGCTGAAAGAAGGTATATTTAGATAAGATATTAGGAAAAAAAATCTTCACTGTGAGGGTGCTGAGGCACTGGCATTGGTTGCCCAGAGAAGCTGTGGCTGCTCCATCCCTGGCAGTGTTCAAGACCAGGCTGGACGGGGCTTTGAGCAAACTGGTCTAGTGGAAGCTGTCCCTGGCTATGGCAGGGAGTTAGAATTGGGTGATCTTTCAGGTTCCTTCCAACCCAAAACATTCTATGGTTCTATGATATTTTCTGCTAATGGACTTTAGTCCTGATGAGCCAGAGAGAGTAACAGGATGAGGACACTGCTTCTGTTTGTATGAGGACTGCATTTTCTGCCTGCAGTGATCTGCGTGGCTCTGTGTATATGTGTATATATATATGGGTACTGTGGGTGTATGGATGGATGTGCTGTGTGCATGCAGACTCAGCCTTGCTGCTGTCTGGACCCAGGGAGGCAGAACTGCAGGAGACTTACCTCTATTTGCTGCCAGATATGGCAAACCCAACACAAACCAACCTCAGCACAGGCTTCCCCAGCAGGATTCTGGTAGGAGCCCATACCTGCTTGCCTGCCTGCAGAGAACTGTCCCCTTTCAAGCTTGTCCAGGGTGGCTGGGTGTGGGGTATGCTAGAGCAGGAGGCCAAAATGTGCCCCTGAAGTCCAGTTGTATTCATGTCTCTAGGGAAGAAACTAGGCAGGGCTGCTTATATTTCACCTAAGGACTAGTGAAAGTGGCATGTGAAGAAAACAAACACAGGTCAACTTCAAACACTGGTGGTGAGGGGCTGACTCCTTGGCCCCACCCTTGTTTCATACTGCTGCACCCCTTGTACTACTTGCGTGTGTCCCTCGAGGCTAGCAGTATGGTGGCTGCATGGAAAGTGTGTCCACGCAGCCAGAACCCCCAAAGAGTGTCTGGGGGTTCTGGCTGCGACTACAGCCTTTGTGCTGTCCCACGCTTTAAAGCCCACTGGAGCATGAATGCTGCTATGTGTAATACAGAAAAAACCTCTGGCTGGGATTAGTCATTTTTGGCTCTCGAAACTGCCTTGCAGCCCTCTGAACTGGCACTGCGGAGGGGCTGCATGCACTCCTCTGTAGAGCTCCAGTGCATACCAAAATACGTATGATGGTTGTGGGTACCCCTGTCCACAGCACCCACAGGCTGCTCCTGCCAATGCACATGGCCTCCTGCCTGCTACCCCACATGGGCCCTGGCTGCTTGCTTCATTGTTGTAGAGGAATCATAGAGCAGCTGGAAAATACTTCCTGCCCATGCCGTGTTACTGGCTTATGTCACGAAGATGGTACACTTTGCATTAGATGAGCCTGAAAGCTTCAAGGGCTATTTGCTTGGGGCATCTAGGGAAGAAGGGGCCAAAGACCACTTGCTTTTTGGAGATATGGGCCTTTTCTCACCCCAAAGTAGAAGTTTAAACCTATAGAAACCTGTTGTAATAGGGACTTTTTGATCAGTCATTCAAACTACATCAAGACAATTCGGTCTATTGCAAATAAAAGGAATAAAGAATAAAAAGAGAAAAACTGAGAGCAGGTTATTTCTGTCTGCCATGTTAGAGCAGAGGTTGGCACCAGGTCCCAGCAACCTCCCTCTTACAGTGTCCAGAGAAGGAAACAGTGAAGCTGTGGGGAAGATCTGTCAGGACTTGTCATGACCAAGGTGAGTTTCTGAAGGTTTCGGATAGACATTTCCTAGTATAGAAATGATTAAGCTGGGCGCAAGTGTTATAGTCAGTGGGTTTTATAGTGTAAAGATCATTTAATTGCTGAAAAAGTGGTCAAGGCTTAAGGAGTAGTGACCATGATCTGATTACAGTTACGATGACCAAACAGAGGGCAGCCCCAGCCAGTAATACAACTACCAGATGTTTTAAAAGGGCTAAGGTAAACTGGGGCAATTGTGAGCAAAACTGACCAGGTGGAAAAAACAGTAAGGAATGGCAGTGAAAGGAAAGTTAAAGAGCTCTTTAAGAAGTGTTTAAGAACCAGCAAAGGAAACAATTTAACCAGAAGTTTAGCCTGACAGCTGTTAGAAAACAATACTCAGGAAACAGGAAAAGGAAAGAGTTCATATTGTCCAAGAGGGAGATGATATGAAGCATCATGCTGGTCAAAATGCTTTGGTTGACACCAGATATTGATTCAGTTTCTGGAGTTCCATAAATAATCAATAAATTTTTCCTGATGAAACTGATGGTGAGAGGCAGATGAGGCAGTATGGCATGTATCCCGATTAGAGAAGGGTGAGCATTTTGTCCCAGTGAAACATCTGCAGAGGGGTGAATTGACTCATGTTATCAAGTAGGAAATGGCACTGCACATGGATCTTTCTCACTGGGCTTGACTGGGGCAGGAGTGTTGTCTAACCCTTCTCAACCTCTTTATTGCAACAGTTTGAAGTAAATGTAAGGCCATCACCACTGATTAAAAAGTGCAAGTGACACATGGTAAAGGCCAGGGTTTGCAAAAAAAGCTAGTGTAATCGCCAGCCTCTGTCCTAGAAAGATCACAAGGTCTTAAACCCCCGTCTCCTTACTGCAGTCTCTGCTTGCCCAGCAGCCACCTGCTCACAGAATCATAGAACAGTTAGGGTTGGAAAGGACCTGCAGATCATTAAGTTCCAACCCCCCTGCCATGGGCAGGGACACCTCACACTAAACCATCTCACCTAAGGCTCTGTCCAACCTGGCCTTGAACACCGGCAGGGATGAAGCATTCACAACCTCCCTGGGCAACCCATTCCAGTGCCTCACCACCCTAACAGTAAGGAACTTCCTCCTTATATCCAATCTAAATTTCCCCTGTTTAAGTTTTAACCCATTACCCCTTGTCCTATCACCACAATCCCTAATGAAGAGTCCCTCCCCAGCATCCCTATAGGCCCCCTTCAGATACTGGAAGGCTGCTATGAGGTCTCCACGCAGCCTTCTCTTCTCCAGGCTGAACAACCACAGCTTTCTCAGGCTGTCTTCATACAGGAAGTGCTCCACTCCCCTGATCATCCTCGTGGCCCTCCTCTGGACTTGCCCCAACAGTTCCATGTCCTTTTTATGCTTAGGACACCAGAACTGCACACAATACTCCAAGTGAGGTCTCATGAGAGCAGAGTAGAGGGACAGGATCACCTCCTTCAACCTGCTGGTCACGCTCCTTTTGATGCAGCCCAGGATACAGTTGGCTTTCTGGGCTGCAAGCGCACACTGCAGCCAGCTCATGTTCATTTTCTCATCAACCAACACCCCCAAGTCCTTCCCCACAGGGCTGCTCTGAATCTCTTCTCTGCCCAAGCTGTAGCTGTGCCTGGGATTGCTCCGACCCAGGTGTAGGACCTTGCACTTGGCATGGTTAAACCTCATGAGGTTGTCAGCAGCCCACCTCACAAGTGTGTCCAGGTCCCTCTGGATGCCATTCCTTCCCTCCAGCGTATCAACCGAACCACACAGCTTGGTGTCATCGGCAAACTTGCTGAGGGCGCACTCAATCCCACTGTCCATGTGAGTGGTAAAGATGTTGATCAAGACCGGTCCCAACACCGATCCCTGAGGGACACCACTCGTTACTGGTCTCCAGCCGGACATTGAGCCATTGACCACAACTCTTTGTATGTGGCCATCCAGCCAGTTCTTTATCCCCTGAGTGGTCCATCCATCAAATTGATGTCTCCCCAATTTAGAGACAAGGATGTTGTGTGGGACAGTGTCGAATGCTTTGCACAAGTCTGGGTAGATGATGTCAACTGCTCTACCCCCATCCATCAGTTCCTTAGCCCCATCATAGAAGGCCACCAAATTGATCAGGCAGGATTTCCCCTTAGTGAAGCCATGCTGGCTGTCACCTCTATTATTTGCAGGAGGAAGTTGTCCTCCACACAATTGAGGAACCTCCTGGATAGCTTGTGCCGGGCCATACCATCCCTCCAACAGGTATCAGGGTGGTTGAAGTCCCCCATGAGGTCAAAGGCCTGTGAGAGTGAGGCTGTTCCTATCTGTTTGTAAAGCGCTTCATCCACAGAGTCCTCTTGATCAGGAGGTCTGTACCAGATCCCCACAGTAACGTCCCCCATTGCTGTTGTCCCTTTGACCATGACCCTCAAACTCTCTGTTGCCTGCTCACCTGTTCCCAGACAGAGTTCCATACTCTCCAGCCTATCCCTAACATAAATAGCAACTCCCTCTCCCCGTCTGCTGGGCCTGTCTTTTCTTAGAAAAGAGCCTGTAACCTTTCGTTCCAACACTCCAGTCATAGGAGCCATCCCACCATGTTTCTCTGATACCTAATGCATCATTCCAGCTATTTCAGGGAGCTAATAAAGCTAGTAAGAGGTAATATCTATGCCTGCATGTCTTCCTCAACATCCTGCTTGCAATTCCTAGCATGCTTAAAAGAAGTGAATAGGTTAGAGACCCATAGGGAAAATCAAGAGCTGGAATAAAACCTCATTTTCAGGAGCAACAACTTTGGGAGTATCTTTGTTAGTCAAAAACCTCCCATGGAGGTAATGAGGGTAAGCAGACATATCAGTGATGACAGTTCCAGGTAGGCCAAGAGAAACCACTTCCTTCACCCAGAGCCAAGCTGTGTCTGGAGCATCACTGGCTTCATATCTTTCCTGGGGTTTTCTGGCACCACAGGAATGACTGAGCTGGCTGAATCAGGGAGCTGTGCATTTCTGAATGTCAGTTACAGAATTATTCCTTTTTTTTTCATAGATTGGTATTTCTCTTTACCACCAAAAAAAAAAAAAAGTTTTATTTTCTCACCTGATATCTTGTGGTGTGATGGTATGGTGGGATTTCTGACTGAAGCAGCTACTGAGGAAAAGGAAGGGAGATTGGTGCGATGAAGTTCACTTTGACCTTTTAAAGGTGCCACAGTGGACTCTTAGTTCCTACCCACTCAGCTGATACTGTGGTAAATGAAGTTCACTCTGAGGAATAGAAGCGTACAGTCCACAGGGGTTCACTGCAAAGAGATAATGCTCAGGGCAAAAGATCACTGCCAGCAATGGAAAATCTCATGTCTTGTCAAAATGGGGCAGCAGCTGACCTTTGGAAACCTAACAGCTCTAGAGTGAAATGCGGTGGCTGCTGGCTGAGGGAACAGCAGCTTGAGTTTGCTTGGAGGTCTGCACTGCTGCACATTGGTGGCTGTGCTGAACACCATGACCTGCTGCTAAAAACTGCCATGAAACAAGCACACAGCTCTTCCTCAGTTACTGCACCCACTCACAGATGCCACTAGCCTGTCCCAGGGTGCTAGGCACACCACAGTCCCTAAGCACCAAGAAAAGCTGCAACCACTGTCAGAGGCGCAGGTCTTAAATCTTGCCTGCCTTTGCTGTGCCCAGTTCAGCTGGAGCTCAGCCTCAGGTCCTCTTGGAAAAAGGCTGCCTGTTGGCCCAAGGGCTGTGACAGCCAGGGAAAATGACTCAGCATGCCAGTGAGGAACCAGCAGCTGCTGGAGGTATGCTCCGGGGAACCCATCTACGGCTTCCCCCCTGCTCCCATGAGACAGCTCGCTTGTTAAAATCCCAGTGCAACACTCTGGGATGAGGCACGGAGGAATTTATTTCAGTGCCAATGCTTCTTTTTTGGAATCTCCCCATAAGATCCTGGCTCCACGTGCATTTCAATATTTTTATTTGTGATTTCACAGCATTTTCACAATTTCCGTCTCTATTTTACACTGCCAAAAGTAGCCTTACCAACATAAACTCCTTTCTACTGGCTCAGTGCCTTTGTTACCCGAAATTCTTGAATATATAAGTCAGCCAAAAAGTGGCTATAATCAAGAAACAAGAAAAAGCCACATGGAGGTGAAATCAAGGAAAGCTGGTTCACGTGGTTCAGAGACATTGGAGCAGAAGCCCATAGACATTTTAGGAAAAAGCTCTGACTTTGATAAATAAATCTGGCATAGTTAGAGAATACTTTATTTCTGGAGTGGACTGAAACATTAAATGGCAGTAGCTGGGGCACATGCTACGAAGCAGGACCTGGATAAAAATCTTGCCTTTGTAAGCTTCTTTCCCCTTCCTATATAACTGCAAGTTAGAACTATCACTGAAGGCATAATCCTCTGCCCAAGAGGCTTTCTTACTCCACAACAGGACATCAGCTTTCGTTCTTGGAAACTCATGCTGGTTGGTACTCATTTCCTTTTTCCTTCTAGATGTTTACAAACATCGATAGGTTGTTCCACTGTTTTTCTGAGAAGTAAAGTTAAACTCTCTAATTCCCCAATTTCTCTTGGGTGAGAGTACTTTCCTGCAAAATGGGAGCTAAATCGAGGAGGGTGCCAGCAAGGGCTCCCACCCTGTGATTCCCACATAGGGGGAACTCCCCAGAGGCCAAGGGCTGTGGTCTGTGGTGAGGATGGTCACTGCCCTGTTCTGATGGTTGGAGCACAGCGACTTTGTGGCATGAGAGCACTGTCAGGCTGGGGCACCGAGCTGCACCTGAGATGCAGGATTTAGCCTTGACTGTGACCAACGCTTTAGCTAAGGTTTTAAAACAATCTGGTTTGCAGCCTGTGAAAGCCCAGAGGAGTGCGAGAGACACTGTAAAAAAAACAACTCAGCAAGCAGTACTGCCAACTAACTCTGGTTTCCTTCAGTCCTTGCTGGAATATCATTGCTGAATGTGCCATGGAGAGTCATTTCTTTGGAACACTACTGAGATGACCAAGTATTTGCTGCAGAGTGCCAACAGGCTCATGGAGCCCCAAAGCCACCTCAGCCTGCCTCCTTGTCCCACCATTAGAATGTCATGATAGCTTGAAAGGGCTAAGAAAGCCCCAGAGACTCCAGCTTTAAAGTGCCTGTGAAAGAGGGACCAAGATAATTTTGATCAATTCAGCAAATTTCGGCAACTGCTGGGTGTGTGCAGTTCCAAAGGCCAGGAAGGTTTCCTCTAGGAGGGAGAGCAAGGGCTCTGATAGCACTTGTGTAAAGCCACTGGATTTGCATTCACTTGGGTATTCATACGCAAGGCAGGAGAACAAGCTGAAGACAATTAAAACCACGAAAGACAGTCTATGCATAGGTGTTTATGATGCCTCTGAATGAGCTGTCATCTTTCCTGTTTCAGACACAGTGCTAAATAGATTACTTGAAATGTAGCTTTCAATCCTCAGTGCTACCAGGGTTGTTAACACAGGCTGAGCGACACTTGCACTGAGGAGTACAGACATGACAAGGCAATTTCAGAAATACGTATGCACAACCTCCACCCACATTTTTTTTAGGGTTTTAGAAACAAAACCAGCACAACATCCGGAGTTGGGAAGTAAAGAAATGGAGATGGGTGGTTCTGGTTCAAACGCATGTACCCAAAATGTGAGAATTATGGGAGCACATGAGTTTGGAACATTTTAGCTCAGCATTCTGGCATTTTTGCAGAAGCAAAGCAGCAAATGGCAAAACCTTTTCTGGAGGGAGCAGAGAGGGAGCCTGCAGGGCAGAATAGCCCAGGCTGTCCGCACTCAACAGAGCTGCTCTGATACACAGCAATGCCTGCTCTTCCAGGAAGGCAGCTGTGGTCTGATGACCATGTGTTCTTGTTCTGTGGCTCCCCACTGAAACACAGGTGGGCTTGTTGGTGGGCTGTCCCAGACCTGCAGCTGACTACCTCTGCAGTCACTGGCTGGCAGCTTTTGCTACAGGTAGGATTGCAGGGATGGGGCAGCCCTGGCTGCAGGCTGCAGTGCCCTCCTCCTTGCCTGTCTGCTTCGGCTGCAGCTTCAGCTGTGGGACCGCAAAGCAATGGGGGTCTGGGGACACTGCTCCTGACACATCTCCACAGCAGCATGGACTTCTGGACATGCGGAGGCACTTGCTCAAGTGTTGTGCAGCTCAGACAGCCCCCCTGAGCCTATTTCACCTTTCCTGTGGGATTGGGAGAGCTGGATCCCAGCTTCCCAGCCACTGCTGCCTTCCATCTGCACTGCAGGAAGCCAAGGCCCCCACTCATGAGGGAAGGATCCAGTGCTGGATCTGTTGCCCACAAGGAAGCTGCTCTGAAGCCAAATCTGAGATTTCCTTGACTCCAGAGTCTCTGTGGGCCCCCACCTATATGGTTGGACACCAGAGCTGAGAGTAGAGTGATTGTTTTTCTGGGGATCTTTTAAGCAAGCACCTAGATATAGCAGGACACTGCAGATCCACTGGAGCAAACAATCTTCTCCACTTTCCCCCAGCTTTATCAGGACTCGAGCATCCCAAGGTATTGCTTCACTCCTCTGCAGGGCTTAGGCATGGCTGATGCTGAACTTGGTGCAGGGCCACTTGGGCTCCCAGGCACTGCTAGGTCTCAAACTCACACTCTAAATCAGAGGGAACTGCTCAGAGGCAGCACAAACTTTCTTTGCGCAGCTCCATTCATGTTTCTGGACAATTAAGGAGAGTTAAGCTTATTTGCTGGGCCTCTTATTGGGTCAGCATGCCCTGGTGAGTGACAGCTGCTGAAAGTGTGGTGAGAGTTTCCACACACTCAAGAGCCAATGGAAAATGTGGAAGCTCAGTAAGGTTCTGTGACTTCTGGTTTGCTCTCAAGACACCAGAGTGTGTTCCTGACTGAATTCACCAGCTACCAGCAACTCAATTTTTTAAGAACAAGGGTGCCCAGCATGGGACATCCTCAGGACAGGTTGCCTGCCCGCCTGCTGTACTCCCCCTTTCATTTGGTTTATGTTTATAGGAAATATCCCCGCCTAGATGGAAAGCCACATGAAAGAACTTTACTCTTGCTTCCCCTGCTTGCAGAGTACATTCTTGTCAGGACATGTGCCTTGTGACAGGTTGAGAGAGCACATTTTGAGGAAGGGAAACTTTCTGACAACTCATCCCTCAAAGACAGACAGACAATGACACTCCCAATGGGCTCGATCCTCACCAGGAGGAGGCAGCACCTGACTTCAGTCACGATGTGCTAATTTACAACAGAAAAAAATCTGGCTAAAAGAGCAATGGAAAAAGCAGTGCTGGACTGCCCCCCAAAAGGATGCAAAGCCTGTCACCCAAAATAACCCAGGAGATGGTCCCTGCTGCAGATAACTGACATTTAGCAGCTCCGTGTGTCACAAGCAAATGTCACAAGGAGACCAACTGAAGGGGGAGGTGCTGGTGTGGCAAGAGACAGGCAATCCTCTTCCAGGGGGAAGCCTGGATGGCTGAGGGGGTCCTCTCCAAGTGCCTTCTTTGGACTATAGGTTTCAGTGTGTGCAGAAAGGGATGTTCCCTGAGCAGTTCTCCATTTTTCCCTCTTACGCTTCATGCAGCTTCCCCTGGCTTTAAAGCCAGAAGATGAAAATGAAGAGAAATGGAGAAATGGAAAGGACATATTTTCTCTCCAATTCTTTATGCAGGCCACCTGTCCCACATCCCTTCCCATTGCTTCTTTAGAAGTAAGAGATTTCAGCCACATCATATACTGCTAACAAGGGAGGGAGCCAGCTCTGTAAACCTTCCACTCAAGGCTGAACAGAGAGGTGAGAGCTTTTACTGACAAAAGATTGAGTAAAGACAAGCAACGTTTACCCAATTCGTTGATATTGTTGGAAGAATCACATACCAGGACTTCCACAGCTGAAGCTATGAAAGACATAAACACATCTACTTCAAAGGCCCTTACTCAAAACTGAACTGGGATGCAATAAATCAGCCCCCACATTCACACCAAAAAAAAAAAAAAAAAAAAAAAGAAAAAGAAAAAGAAGAAAGAAAGAAAGAAAGGAAGGAAGGGGAAAGTCAGATTAGTCACAAAGAAGTTTCCCCGCCTGTTTCTCTCTGCACTTAAAGCAGCTTCCTGAAGGCACTGTCTTCACTTCATCTCTGTCCCTGGGACAGGAGCACATAGCTGATTTGCCCCCTACTCTTCCAGACTCCTGCTGTGCTCTTAGCCCCTTCCCCAGCAGTTGCTGGCAGTGCAGCTGAGATGGAAGGACAGATAAATGTAGAGCTGAGAAACCAAAACCAGATGGATCAGGAAAGGAAGCCTGCAGAGAATGAGGGGAAGAGCTGGCAAAGAGGGCAGGTTAGGAACACGCTGCACCTTGTGTCTGCGACTGCTCAGTGGATTTTACTGCTTGGCTGCTTGATTTACCTTGCTATAGGTTCTCTGCAACCCTCAACGGTAAGAGCTCATGTTCAGCCCATTGTCTGCTGGCCTGTAAAGCTTTGTATGGATTTTATTTAATGCTTCTTTTTTTTCTTTCTTTTTTTTTTTTCTTTAAGAAAACAAAACCCCAAACCATTTAGGTTTATCCTTATTTAACCCACAAGTTTTTAACCCTTTCCTTAATGATTTCAGCTCTTTCTTTTACATTCCCTGTCCTCAGAACAACATCCAATATTGCCCAGTGCAGGCTTGGTGAAGGTGTCTGGAAGGGGGATTGTTCCAGGAATGCTCTTTGCTCTGACCCCTGGGGGAGGGAAGTCTGCCTCCCTCTTGCTCCTGCCACTGCTTGCAGTGGCTATTGTGTATTTCTATTTAATTATGGAAATCTGGGTGGGTGGTTCACTTTCAACAAGTGCATGGGGAAGAATCAGGATTTTATGACCAGGTTGCTCATAAACATACCCTGAATTTTTTAAATATACTATATGTACAGGCAGGATACTTGAAACTTGAAATGCTTTAGCAAAAACTGCAGCAAATACATTTGCTTTTTTTCATGTGTTTGCAGGCTGCTGGATTGACAAAAACCATTCACTCCTATTTCAGTGCCACTTATGCACTAGCTACTTCTACATTTTCTCCAGGAGTTATATACTTCTTTAAAGCTTGTCCTTTGTCTTACCAGAGTTTGTTCTTTCCTCCCACTTAGAGTTGAAGTGCTTGCAGAAAAGCAAGCCAAACATGTAACTGTGCAAGGGAGGGATAGCCTCATGCTCTGGGTCCTCTGCTGTTTAATGAAAACCCCTGTGTTCTGCACAAGATTCACTGACCTGAAACTCATAGTGGTTATTAATCTACAGAATGATGACCCTGATAACCCTGAAAGATAGCACTTTTCTTTCAGCTTAGTCCTCCTTCTACTACTTTGGAAGACAGAAGCTGTACTGGAAGCCAATGGAGAAGGGCAAGCTATCAGACTGCTCAAGGTGCAGAAACCTCTCCTGGTGTGTCAATCCTCATCCTGCTGTATCTCTCTTTTCTGTAAAACTTAACTCAAATCTTCCTTTGAGAGGAAGATGGCAGGGGCTGGCATTGCTGCCTGTAAGCATTACAAATCCAAGAGAGCGGCAGCTGAGGAGGAGACATGCCTGAAGTTTCTCTTCCTCCACACAACCAACCAAAAGAGGGTGCTTGAGGAGCACTGACTGCAGCACACGAAAAGTCCAGCCCTGGGACTGTTTATAGTTCCTGGACTCTGTAATAGTAAACACTTGCTACCTGCGGGCTCAGAACTGGTTCCTATTATTTTAAGCAGATGACCATGGTGTCCTGTTTTGACTGCACTGTGCTGTGCAGGAGCAGTCTCGCAGGCTGTACACAGCGGGATTTCATTATACTGCAATTCCTGGCCTCAGTAGGACAACCATGAACCAACCATATGCATGTCTGTAGGAACAGGCAGCAGTACTAATCTGACTTGACTCTCATGGCAATTTAGGGTGATAGACTTTATGGAAGTAGGGGCACAGTAACATTAGAGCAGCAGGTTGGGAGCCCAGACCATGCTTAACAAAAAGGGACAGTGATTTGGATTGTGTCATGATGCTGCCTGGTGAGCAAGCCTCAGCTGGGATTTCCAAATAAGCAAGTTTAAAAAAAGGTAGTGATAGTCTGCTCTTGCGTCTGCAAGGCTTTGTGAGTTCTCATCTGTGCTGAAGTTACCTTTACTTCTTCTTGCCACACCAGCAGAGACCAGGCATGGCAAGCCACTCACAGGTGCGATCAGGGGAGGGAAATCTCCCCCAGTGACAAATGCATGGGAGGTAAAAGCCTTGAGCAGCTGTTGGGACTTCAAAAACTTCTAATGACCTGTTGCAGGTGGTTTTGCGTGAACAGGGCAGGAAAAGGTGCAGGAGGAGTAACCGTGTAGAGGTTTGGTGTAGATAAGAAAGATATGCCCATAATCCTAATATCTCATGGTGTGAAAAAGGTACAACCCACTTCCAGTGCAGTCATCTGCAATCCGTGTGACTGACAGGGCATCATGCACCATCTCAATGGACCTTTCAGTCAGCACATGCTGCTACAGTCTCCCAAGATCCATGCTCTGTGCAGTACAAACCTATTCCTGAAATGGGTGGCAAAGCTCTAAATACAGTGTCTAAGATAGGAGAAAGTCTCAGGTTTGTGTATCTGTGTAACTCTGTGTGTAAATGATACGGGGAAATCTGAAGCTGTCAGAAAGGCGCACCTCTGTGCCCTCAACCCTCGTGGCATCCTTTCCTGCATACCATAAGAAGACAGAACAGGGAAAGAGAGGCAACTAACCTTATTGGTAGTTCACAGATGTCCTTCCAGTCCTACAGGTATGTTCTCTTCTTAGCAGAATTTACCAGTAGACAATTACAAAGTGCTTTGAGCTCTCACAGTAACTGGCAGTTACCTACATTATTGACAATGGGGCTGATATTCTTAAAATTACTACAAGTTGGTCACCCAGCCTGCCTGTGTTTAATATACCCTGTCTATCAGTGGCCAGATTGGACAGGTTGTGGTGGGTATTGTTTGACCTCAGAAGCTCAGCAGTCCGGTCTGTGCTTGGCTGTTGTCTTCCTGGGAAGCTACCTGGAGATCCCAGCTGCCTGAGCCAGAGTTAAATGCTCATGCACTTAGGTGACTAGAAAAAGAGTAAGTGTAAGACTCAAGCTGCTGAGGCAATAAATAGGACCAGTAATGCTGAGGAGACAGTTCCACCAAAGCCAGGTGCAGTAAAAACTTGCATTTGGTAGCTGAATCCAGCCTCGCTAGTGGAGCAAGCCGCAGAGCACCAGTTGTGGGAACACTAGAGGGTGCCAGAGCAGATCTTTTCCACCTCCAGCGTCCAGCATCCACCTCACCCTCCGACGCAAGGCAGCCCGACTCCAAACTCATCTCCTGCTGCTTGCATTTACCGGGGCACAGCACTGAACCTTCAGGGCTGCATGACAGTGCTCACTCTCTATCTATTCCAACACTTTTCCAGTACTCAGAGTGAAAGGACTGCTCTGCTCCTGTAACACACGAGGCCAAATACATGAAAGTCAGCCCAACACACATCTTACTAGCTCACATTCTCACTTAGGAAACATATGACATAGGTAAAGAGAACACAGAGCAGCAAAGCCTAAATCTTTCACTCTTTAATCAGGCAAAATGCTGAAGACTTGTGGTTGTGAAGAGACTGCAGACTTGGGTCTCCTGTGGTTAAGATAAGAGATGGGTTTGAGATGCAAGTTCAGATTTAAGAAATCTAATTCAGAAGCTTGGTGTTTTGAGTATCTGATCAGGAAGATATGCACTTCTGTATTTGCATTCACATTTTCTGTTATACTTATAAAATGCAAATCAATTTTAAATGCCTTAGTGCACTTCTAAGGGATCCACTAAGAGACACACACGCAGTGACAGCCTGTTCCAAAGTACAGGATCCATGAAGCCAGACGCACCTCTTGGTGCCCTGCTGGAGGAGGGTGAGGCAACAGGGGCACATCTAGGTCCCAGCTCTGTAAACAGGCACCCCTGGCTGTATGTCAGACTCAAGGGGCTCATTCAGAAGAGGATTTGCACAACAAGGTCCTTCCTTGCTATTTGGTCTGGATCGATGTAGTTCACTGGGATGTTTTTTCAAACAGGAGCAACACTACCTGATGTGTTCTGGAGGGCTCAGCACTGGCTGTAAGTTGGCTGCCTATGAACCCCTCTAAAATCGTGCTTTATAATGATGGTATAAGAACAAGTACAAAGCAGGTGCCAGGAGAGGCTGCACACAGAGGCATGGCTCTGGTCAGGAAACAAAAGTGGCAGCAGCAAGGGGCCGCTCGCATGGTGCGCTAATAGGAATTCCTCTTCTTTCTTTTCAGCCTTGGAGTAGCCTTCACTTGGAAAAACTGCCGTGGACCCATATCCGGTACACAGGTGGGTGGCTTTCACGGCAGGGTCACCCATGAGGGCTCCCAGAGCACTTCCTGTGAAAGGTTCCCCAGTACCTGCGGCGGCTCCTGGCCTCCCACTCTGCCCCACACTGACTTGCGGTCCCCAGGCACCACTGGTGGCCCCTCAAATGCTGGAGGCTGTTAAGTGCTTTTCATCACACCAGAGGCTGTTTCTTCTGATGGAGGAAGGCGTCAGGAGAGCTGTCTCAGGAGAGAGGGGCTAAACGTGACCTGGTGCTGCAAGGTGCCAAAACCAAACAAAAGGGTTTTCCCAGAGTAGAAGAAAAGACTGAAAATCCATGTGGATTTCTGCAGTCCTTACCTACCTACTGAAACAAGCTTTACTCTGGGAAAGAATAAGAACAGTAGTTTTGAGAATTTTCTGAGAACACCCAGAGTGCTTTTGGGGTATTTCTGACACAAATCAATGACTTCCTGGTTTATGAAAGTTGTAAATGGTTCCCTGGGAAGAGTGAGCGAGCATACACATGGTAGCAGAAACAGCAGTGCTCTGTGTGCGACTGCATGGGACACTCTGTCTGATGACACACCTCTACGATAGAAGCAGATACTAGAGTTTTTAAATTGTACTAAAAAAATGTTGATATTGTTAGTATTGGAAGGTACCAGCGGGTCTAACCTAATAGAAACCGAGGTTCTTAGAGAAATTTGCTCTCAGCTCAGAGGGGCTGTGCTGCTCATCAGGAAACCTTTTGGGTCCTCTGGCCCCTGGGGTTTCAGCTGAAAGCCCAGGAGCACAGCAGGGAAACATTTCCAGCATAGCCCTGGGAACTGTTACTGATTGTTCCAAGAGAAAACCTTCCATGCAAAGTTTGTTTTAATTTCTCCTGACTCTGCTCTGTATCCATTTGTTTCTTCCATTTCTGTCTCTACACTTCTCTTTTACCCTGTCTTCCATTAAGAAAAAACAAAGCAACCAAACCCAGAGAAATGTTTGTTGTGTTATGTTACTGGCATCTCCACAGAAAGCACTCTTTCTCATCCTTCCAGTTCTGAACACTTGCCACTCTTCTTATTTACTGTTTATTTACTTATTTACTTTCTTTATTTTCAGTTCTTTTTAGGAGTCTGTGCTTCCTAAACTCACAGAGATGCTTTACTTACATTTTAATTAAGATATAGAGTAAATAAACATGCATTAATAGAAACTTGGAGGAATAATTTGTATAAACTGGAGCTGTAGTCTGAAGAGTCCAGCTTGCTCAGGAGTGGGGATCTGGAAATTTCCACTGTAGATGATGCCTGTTTAGAGCAGATGATACTTCAGCTTTGGTCTGCCCTATTCTCTAGTTCATTCTCTTCCTTTTCTATATTTTTCCACCCTTCCTGCAGTCAGTCTGTATAAAACAACCTATTTCCAAGAAGGCATTTGTCATCATGGGACCGTCTTTACTTTCTTATGTTCCAGGAGAAAGCATCAAAGGAGTAGCCATGAATTTCACTCCTTATGCAGGCACTATTCAGATCAAAAATGGTTCCATCATGATCAGCTGTGATGGCCTCTACTTAGTGTCCTTGAAGGGCTTTATCTTTTTTGCTGACTTGGAAGAGGGGGACTTGTGGAAGCTAACACTGCAGAAGACAAACAAGGAAACCAGCAGGCCCCTCTGGGAGCAAACAGTACAGGAAAGGGACAATGAAATAAATCTCACCATGGTGCTCTTCTTGTTTGAGAAGGATTACATCACCCTGTGGACCAATTCCAGTGCCAACATTACGGGTTTGTCATTTAGCCTTGTGTTACAAAGTCCCTTCAATTGCTCTCATCTTCAGTCATAGAAGATGAGAAGATATGAAATGTAACATGTAAAGTACAGCGTTTCCTACCAATCTATTTGCCTGTGGGAGGTTTGCTCTCACTGGCTCTACTTGTACAGGCAGACAGCTCTAGCCTCCCTCCTTACGGCTGCAGAAAGCCTCAGCTGGAGTGCAGATAAATCACAGTGCGAACGGGGTTTATACAGTGCATGCTGTGCTCGTCTCTTTGGAGCAATGTGCAGCTGTTTTGCTACCCAGGATGGATCTTTCTAGCTCTGGAGAAACGACTATGCAGAGCCCTTGAGGAGAACAGAAATGAAAGCTGAAGAAAGTCACCTAAGCTTAGCTCATATTCAGAGAAACCCCATGTTTCTGTTTACCTGACAGTATCTGTATATAGTACAAAAGCACTGTACATTTGCTAAAATAAAAGGCTGGTAAATCAGGAAGATACCTCAAGTGTCTTGAAGCCATTTGGAGAAGGAAGAGAACAGATCTGCTCAACAGCTCTTTGCCTGGCAAGGCAGGAGACAGGCAAGAGGCAGCAAGGGACTTCCTTTGCAGTCATCCAGATAAATCCTCTCTGACAGGTAAAGGCTATGAATGGAAGGTGTTATTTTGAAATGAGCTGACAGGACTGCACTGGACAGCAGAAATGCAGTTTCTGCAGTGACTATAAGGCTTTTAGCAGCAGCTTTTGAGTGGAGGCCCACTGGCTGTTCCAGCTATGCAGACTACTGAAACCTGAGACAAGGGAATTCTGGTGGGACATTTATGTCTTGAAACCAGCTCTCAGAGTTGTTAAGTTGAAGAAGAATCTCCTTTGAGCACGCACACACACACGGACTGGCTTGATCCAAAAGTGATCCAGGCACATAAAAACTTGGAAAAACATGACAACTCCAGATTTGATGAGTTCTCTCTAATGAGCCAAGTGAAACCTGCACCTCTGCTCACCCTTTCCTTCGGGAGGGCTCAGATGGCTCCTGGGAGCTTCACAGTAGGCCTTGTCATATAAGTATACACCACAGAAAGATTCACAGGCACAACCTCCATGATGTACCTGTGCATCCACATGCACCCTGCCTTAGCTTCTGTGGAAGTCAGACTGCTGTCACTGATCCTGCGCTGCACAGCTCTTGTTAGTGCTTGTGGCTGCTGAGGACAAATCCTGCTCTGCCCTGTGCTGCAGCCAGCACATGAGCTGAGCACTGCCAGTGACTTCTATTTTTTGGTTGAAGTGGGGCAGATTTCAAGTTGACTACCTGGCTCCCACTGAGCTCCAGCAACATTTCAGCATCTCGCTGCTGGCTGGACAATCCAAAGTATTTTAGAATCATAGAATCACAGAATAGTTAGGGTTGGAAAGGACCTTAAGATCATCGACTTCCAGCCCCCCTGCCATGGGCAGGGACACCTCACACTAAACCATGCCACCCAAGGCCTAGTCCAACCTGGTCCAACCTGGTAAAGCAAGTTACATTTTTACTACAAGTAATTGAAGATTCCTGACTGAACAAGTGTTTCTGATATCAAACCTGGTGAGGGCTGGAGAAGACCAATACAACAGTGCATACTGAAATTTGGGCAAAAAGAAGTGGTGCTCACTGTGAAGGGCAGCTGAAAATGTGGTAATCCTCAGTGATGTTCTGTTGTTACTGGAAAGTTAAAGTTTTCATCTGCCATTGGCTTTCCTGTAAATATGAAAAAAAAGTAAAAAAAGTCAGCAGACATTTGACAACAAAATCTCTGTAGCTGGTTGCTGTTTTTCTCTGCTTTTTCATAGCCTTCGTTGTCCCTCCAGCATTACCAGGCAGAGGCAGCAATCCAGTGAGGAGAGCAGCAGTCTGTGGGGAGGAGTACCCCACAGACCTTTGGTGAATGCATCAGCCTTCTTTATCCTCGTGCTTTTCTGTACTCACTACAGATGTGAGTTAATGAGACTGGCAAAATTGTATCACAGACTCTGTAGCTGTAATAGTGCTGGCTTTGGTTTCTTGCCCTGGGCCTTCTTCAGTCTCACGTGCTACAAAGCAGATTTAACTGTCCAACTTTCACTTTCTTTCAAGCATTAGTTTATATGTCATAGAATCATAGAATCATAGAATCGTTAGGGTTGGAAAGGACCTTAAGATCATCTAGTTCCAACCCCCCTGCCATGGGCAGGGACACCTCACACTAAACCATATCACCCAAGGCCTCGTCCAACCTGGCCTTGAGCACTGCCAGGGATGGAGCATTCACAACCTGCCTGGGCAACCTATTCCAGTGCCTCACCACCTTAACAGGAAAGAATTTCCTCCTTATATCCAACCTAAACTTCCCCTGTTTAAGTTTTAACCCGTTACCCCTTGTCCTGTCACTACAGTCCCTAATGAAGAGTCCCTCCCCAGCATCCTTGCAGGCCCCCTTCAGATACTGGAAGGCTGCTATGAGGTCTCCGAGCAACCTTCTCTTCTCCAGCCTGAACAGCCCCAACTTCCTCAGCCTGTTCTTATGCCTATAGTGTAAATACATTTTTTACATTATAAATACTTTTTACAAAAGGACTAGAAGACTACAGAAGGACTACAGAGCCCTGGGAGAGGTGGTTAGGGGCTCTGGAGCTCAGGTGGTCTTTTCATCAATTCTCCAGGGTACAGGGGAGGACCTAAAAAAAGCTAGGAGGATTAGCCAGGTTAATAACTGGTTAAAAGGGTGGTGTCATAGTCAGGGGTTTGGGTGTCTTGAAAACGGGGCTTGTCCTTTCCAACCCTAACTATTCTTGATTCCATGGTTACTTCAGAGTTCTTAGAAACACTGGGAAGGGCTCAGACTTTGGGTTGTCATCACTAAGCTCCTCTTTGCAGATGCTCCCGATGCCCCGGAGCGGAACATTCCTGCTGCGCAGGTACCCTGTTGCTGCCTGCCTCAGCTCCCAGCTCCTACTCCTGGCTGAGCACTCCTGCAGGATAAGGTGCCAAAGGCAGCTAAGGCAATCTTCCAAGCCGTGGTGAGCTTTTCTGCATGCTTTATGCTACTGTTGGCAGGTTTTATGAACATCCCTTCCTGGGGCCAGGCAGCAGCCCCAGGGGAAACCTCCACTGAGTCAGTGTTCATGCTGTGCCAGGCAGCAGCTTTTTCTCAGGACTGAGAAGCTGTGGGCTGACTTTCACCTGCAGGATGTTTCTTCCCAGCTACAAGGGGCATTTTGGGCTTTTACCTCTGGCCATTCTGCCCACCACTGGCACCAAAGGCAGTTGCAGCCTGCTCCCAAGCTGGGGATTGTCACACTCCCCAGCTGAAGTAAGAATGTGTTTCCCCTCCTAAAATCTGATAAAACTTCTTTGTAATGTCTGGGCTTGCAGGGACTGGTGAACTATACATTCACTGGGTTTGAGTAAACATTTTCACTCGTATGAAAACTATATGAAATTTTCACATATTTTCTTTTTTTACAGTTCAGCTACAGTTTCAGATCTCCCCAGGGGTATGGGGTGTTTGTGCTTCTCAATATGAACTAACAGAGCAGGCTGTCAGCAGTGTGGACTGGGGTGCACAGCAAGAAAGGTTAAGTCTAAACAGCACAAATGGATTTGTACCTCAGAAGGGTGCACCCTTTCTTCTTGTTTAGAGCAGGAGAGTGCATTTTACACACTGATTCCTCTGCTCTTTCAGGCTGAGCTAGACTGATCTACATATATACATGTATATGCATGTCTTGAAATAAAGGTTGAAACAATTAAATTCCTGAGATTAGTTACTTGAGGGACTAACAATCCTCAACAGTAAGTTTCCATACCATCAGCTTCTGTTTATATCTGGCGACTCCTTCCTCCTTTTAACAAAGTTAAAAGTCTCTTTGATATAAGAAACATGAATTTTTGTTATTGGGATTAAGGCCTTGTAGAAGCTCATAGATGGTGCTAAAGTCCCATTTTACAGCTCTGTTCAACCTCAGGTCAGGGCGCTGAGGTTTTAGGTCACTCCCTGATGCTAATTGCAGGGTTTTGAAGTGGGGGCTGGACTAGGCAGTTTCTGGAGACAATCCCTAACTCTACAGGGACAGCATGTTCCCCTTCCTGCGCTTGCTGCTACTGAAATGAGGCCTCATGGTCTGTCCCTTACAGGGCTTTTAATGAGACCATTTCGCAGAATACAGTAATCATCTGGGGATTACTGACTCCTCCATGATTTTAAAGCAATCTTTGCCACTGATGGCTTGTCTTTAACACACACTACTGCCTAATCTACAGAGGTGGCTACTATGTATTTCTTCCCTTCTGTCTCCTCTTTCCTACCTCCCCACTTATGTAAACAAGGGACAGGGTGACAAAGTTGGTGTTGGTGCCACAGTCACTCTGGGGAAGAGGCTGGCCTCACTGCGCCCATCAGAGATATGAGGCTCTTGCTCTCCAGCCGAGAAGAAACAACCGAAGGCAGTGCAGAGGTGAGAGCTGCTTCTTGTTACAAGCATATAAGAACAAATGATGGGAAGCATTTAATTTAAAATACATTCACGTACCTTCAAAAGTCATCTCCTTTTCTACCACAAATGGTTACCAGTAATGGTAGATAATGAGTCTGTGGCTTTTAGATACCACTTATATTTCATCAGCCAGCTTGAGTCACAGCAATTGCCTGTTCACTCCGTTAGTGACAGAGAACAAGAGAGCTGGAGTACGCTTAGCAAAGTGCAATCACTCCCACTACCATAGGGCTAGCAGAAAGAACAGGAATATAGTTTTCATATTCAAGTACCAAAATGGGAAAGTATAACACAAATCCAACAATCTATCTCCCACAATAACTGGTTGAGAAGGTTTAACTTATTAGACTTTTTCCAGCAACATCTGTAACTTCAACTGTAGAGCTGTTCTCTGAGCTGACTGTTGGTTATTATTGCCCAAGGGATCCAGGCCAGCCCCAGGAATGCTTGCTTCCAGCTATGTGGTAGTCCACCAAGTAAAGCAAATGGAGTAACACCCACTGAGGACTGGGAGGAGGGGAGTTTGTACCGAGCCAGAAAGGGACAGCTGCAGAAAGATTTATCATTTGCCATTTGCAGCATTGTATGCTCTAAGGCCAGGGAGGTTCAGAGAGCTTGTTTGCTTGGTTCTCTAAGCTGATGATGAAGGATGTAAACAGCAAGCAACCTGTACAAGCAGAGTGGAGGCTGAAGGCACGTCTCCCCATTAAGGTGCCAAGCAGTGAGCTCACTTGGTGGCAGCTGTTCAGCACCCCAGGGCAAAACATACTCTGCCAGCACTTGTGCTGTGTGGAAGGGGCTCACTGTGCTCACCGCGCTAGGAAGCAGGAGCCTGAGGACTAGAAAACTCGCAAGCCAAGGCAGGAGGGGCTGACCTGTCTCAGAGGAGATGAGCATGAGGAAGGACACAGGGCAGGACTGAGAAGCCCAGGCAAGCACAGGGCTTGAGTTAGGACCAAGGAGAGTTAAGGAGAGACACAATGGT